AAATATTATCAAAACTCATATATAAGTCAATATTGGGACAGGGGAGAATCCTGTAACATTCAAACATGACACCATGAAGGCAAAAATGTTGTCAAGCACATAAAACAGGTAAATTATTTTCCAATCAAATTGCCATAATGTAAAATGACAGACGCCAATGACGACAGTTTTAAGACTAGAAACCCTATCTGAAAGTTAGCATATTTTCCCCATTCATTTGTCATCTTATATACAACTGGTATCAGTCTTATTTTCTCAGTATCATTTTCTTTTTTGTCTGAAAGATGACTGGAAAGAGAAATTGTTATATGATAAATTTATAACAACAGGTGATAGAGCTTGATGAAAATTCTGACGTTGGCTGCTCAGCATTTCTCCACACATGAAAAAAAAAGCTCGAGACAGGAAAAAAACGGGATGCACATTTCACCAACAACAGATTTTTAAGTTTGGTGATAATGCACCAAACTATCATTATAAACAATTTCAAAAATAAAAGAACTGATTTTCATACAATAAGTATCTAATTTGATTTTAAGTTTTTTTTTTTTTTTTTTTTTTTTTTTTGTATGAAAAAAACTAAATAAAATATCTGATGTGGAAACCCCATGATTTCTCTGAACAGATTATTAAATTATACACAGTTTTTGCTGCACTTCATTTAAACTTATTTCCTCGAATTTCATTAGAGATATATTTCTAATTCAATCAATTCACTTCTTATTTACTGGCAAAGCAAAAATACATAAAAATTCATTAAAAACTGTAAAACACAGGAAAACCTAAAACATCACATATACAATTAAAAACAGTTTAAAAAAATATTTTTTATAATTAAAATTAGAGTTTCTCTACAGCATAACAAGCAATTCGACCAACGGGCAGAAAGACAAAATATTTGGTGCATAAAATTGAAAGTTATTTTTCTCCCACACTGGGAAAAAAATCACTCAAGTTCTGACTTATTTCTCTATTCTACTAAGAGTTTCAAATGTAAACAAATGGAGGCCTCATTAGGTTGAGAGGCACTTAATCTTTAAAATTGTTGATAATTCTACAACTACTGCGTACAGATTAACTAAAGGCATAAAAACCTTAACTGGAACATAAGAGCATAATTCAATCACTTTTAATGCAAGCACAATTCATCATCCTATAAGAATAAAAAAAAACTAAACTCACTGAACGAGGTAGCCCAGTGGCAATACATACAGGGTGCCCAGTAAAGTTACCACCCATTTAACTGCTGAATGGCTGCAACTATAGTTGTAAAAGTGGTGTCAGTTGCAGTATAGTGGTTACCCACTATTGGATGAGACTGCTCACAGTGCAATGTGGTGAAAACAGGCATAGCTAGTATTGATATCTCGAAAACAGTAAGAGATAGGAGGAAAAAATGAATTACAAAATTGTAGAACATCATCGATTTAGTATGTAAAGATACCTTGTGGATATGAATGTTAAAAACAGAATGCTGAAAATGTATATTTGTTTCTTCATAATTTCTGAAATTATTACATCATGAAACTTGAACAAAAGAAGAAAAGATTATCTTTCTAATGAAAAACGAGGCTAAATCAGGGCACAGTGGTATCGCCTGTAATTCACAGTTGAGAGGACTATGGTTCTAACCCTGTGGGGTGCATCCATGTACTTTTCTTTATAAACAGAGTAGACAATATGCAGATTGTGCATAATCATGTCACAAAATGCACCAACTCAACGCACTTTAAGCTTGGTGTGCAAAATTTGTACATTATGCAAATAATGCATAAAATGTCACAAGTGTTTACATGAGACACCTATAAAAGAGGTATATCCTCAGGGTTGTATGTTGAAACTCATGATCATGAAGTGATTTAAAAAAAAAAAAAAAATGATTACTGCGAGATAGTTCTACTTTATGGTAAAAGTGGATGCAAGATACAATCGACAGTCTGTGGCATCAATTACCAGCAGGCCTGCATCCTTCCTGAAAGACCATACTACAAGGTTTTGAAAAGTCTAAGGGAAAACAGGCTGTGTCATTAGTTAACTTCAATTCGGCAAACTGGTTAAAGTAGGGCAGAAAGTACAACTGGGAGATGTATTATCATACGCCCTCACATATCCAAACAGCAACACATGAAACATAAGAGAAAACTATATCCTCTCAAAAAGTCAAGTTTGTAAAGTTGTAAATGAATTAGTATGAGTTTAGACATTATTGGACAGAGATGTCAAGAGACATTTTGCATTGAGCAACTTCATCATGAATCAATAAAAGGTCCAGACAACATTCTTATCAGATATAGTGTACACAAATGATTTTCATGGAGTGAAACGTACAACAGGTAGACCACCCATTACCGAGTGCTAGAAAATTCATCCCTTTCTGCCAAGATTAGATATTAATTACAGTTTTTGATTAATGTTTGGTGTGGAATTTACAATAACAGGCTAATCAACCTAATATTTTGTCACGGTACGTTAATGGCAGCACAATATTTAAAACTTCTGCAAGACATAAATCTGATTTTGTTAAGAACTTTAAATTGTCTCAGATAAAGGGGTAAATTGTCTCAGGGTAAAGGTGGTTTAGAAGAGTAGCCTCCATGTTCACCTGCCTACTCTAACGATTTGAAGTTATTTAACGTTCTACAAAGGGTAGGGTCTCTGAATCCAGGTACCCTAGTGTCTGAACACCATTCTACTGGATCCCGTTCACATGACTTGACTGCAATAGACATTTTCCTGCGAGGATACCTCAAACAGCAGATGTATGCAATACTACCCAAACATTGCAGGACCTTCAATGATGTATTGCAGATGCTCATGCAAACATGTCACCGGCTATGCAACAAAGCGAACAACGTGAAGTTCTAACAAGGGTCCTAATGTGTATTTCAGCTGATGGAGTGAAGTTCGAACATTGAAAATAAAGTATCTTGTGATAATTAGGTGTCCCCCCACCCATTTCTAAGAATGTTTCACCACATCGCTGTATAGGAAATTGTGAACACACAAACGTGCACTTAAAACATTCCGTTTTTAATATTCATGGCCATGAAATGCCTTTTTGTACTAAATTGATGATGCTCCACAATTTGGTAATTCACTTTTTCCTCTCATCTTGTGCTGGTTTTGAGATAAGAATGCTTACTCTGTGTTCCACCAAGTGGTGGCATAAGCGGTCTCATCAAATACTGCACAGCTACTGTATTATACCTAGATACGACTTTTATGACTATTGCAGCCATTCGACAGTTAAATGTGTCATATCGGACTTTAGTCATCTTGTTTATAGGTTTATATATAGAGAAAATATAAGTTTGGTGCAACCAGTAGCAAAGAAAAAGGGAGGTGCAAAACTACATTTTATAGCAGCCCCATATACAAAATTAGTACATTCTACAGCTGCTCATTTCTTATTTATGCAAGATACATACGTAAGTATGGACATATGCATATATGTAATGAAAAAAATATCTTCTGAATTCATGCTACAATCCATTTCAGGGAGGAAGGAAAAAAAAAAAAAAAAAAGTCCTTTATTCTGTCTCTTATGCTCAGATGTCATGCAAAAACATAGTTTGAATGGATTCAAAAGCGGTCAAAATGATTTTTAATGATCACAACAGTGGTCAAAGTGATATTTTCATTGAAACATGATATACGAAATTTTTTGTGATTATAATACTTCTTTTAACTTGTACAAGGAAGTAAAAAGTGCAGTATTTGTCGATTTATTGCTTTCACTTGGCTAACAAGTATCTACATTTTCTTGCAAGATAGCAGATCCATATAAAAGCCAACTCCCATAATTTAGGTTTAGAAAAATGTTTCAAAAATTCTTAGCTTATACACAGCTTATATGGTAAATACCGAACAGCTAAATAAAAGATTGAAAGCATTCTTCCCTGAAACTATGATATAGTGGTTAGGGGACTATACTGCAGTACTGAAGGGCCCGGATTCGAATCCTGGATAAGGGTATGGATGCTTGTAATCGTATAGTGTCTGTGGCATGGGACACTCTAAATTTGCAGTAAGCCGAAAGTCCTCTTCAGAGGTTGGTGGTAGGGAAAGAGGTGTGAGATACCCTTGGATCCGTTCCCCTGGGGTGCTCTCCATCAAAACTGGAGGCAGAACTGAGCGAAATTGTACTGTCATAGCTCTTGCCAGCGACAGGCACAATCTTGCTCTCCTTGCCACAATGAAGTTCGTGGGCTTGTTCTGACTGTCAGACAAGTGAGATAGTCAAAACAACACTATGAAATTCCCCTTGGTTGAGAACCTCTGCTTTATACCAATAAACAATTAATTATCTATTTAATAATATAAAAAAATATTTCTATGATCAATGGGATCTTCATTATACCAACCAATCGCCCATGCATACCGGACTATCTATCCCTAAATCATAAATCACCAGGGTTTTATATCTACCCTGCTGTAAACCCCTAATCTAGGCTACAAACCCGAGTCTTCCATTTAAGGAAGTCTGACTTTTGCATTTGGTTATATATGCATTATTGAACAAGAGGATGGAATTTTTACAGAATGTAGCTAGACATTTCATCTTAATTGCAAGTTGCATCTGAAAGACTAGAATCAAGTATGTGCCAAAGCCATCGATATATACTATATCACTTATTCCACCCATAATTATGACAGCAACAAACACAATAGCAATGGTATAATTCAAGCACAATCTATTTGGCTAATAATGAATATCATGCAAGTAATTTTGGCGCTATCAAACAAAAACTTTTTACTACTCCTTATAGAATTTAAAGGGAAGTTAAAACAAATTCAAAATTTCAACATCTTCACACTTTTTACAAAAATAGTAAGTAAATACAAACATACTTTAATAATAAAATTTTTAGAAAAAGTTGCTTTCAAATTTAATAAGTTTTATGCGTAAAAAAATAAAATGTAGATGTATTTGAAAAGAATAATGAAACTTTTCTGAAAAAAAAAGTATTTTGTAGCAAGTAAAAAGTATATAGACATACCCTGTTCTGTTCGACCTAAACCTTTACCACTACTCCATCCTTGCTTCTGAAGAAGCTGATAACCCAGATTATCCTACATAAAATGGAAATAAGTTGAACATACTTACAACATATAAATAATAAAAAAGCATTAAGTCTAAAATTATTCTAAGATTCAGTCACACCTTTTGAGCCAGCACTTCAAATTAAATCATTTTGTGTAAATATACCTACTTGGTCATGATGGGGATAGTTGTGGAATTTTTGGCGCATAACCTGAAATCTTATAATGTGTGAAATTTCAGTTATACAGTACAAAGTCCGTAATCCAGACTCGTCGGGACTTCGGCGGTTCCGGATTATAGACTATCAATTTAAATCTGGTAAGATGGCATGCAGAAATTATACAATTAAGATCTAAAGGGTATCAAAATTTACAAAAAAAAAAAGCTTAGTATTTATTTTACTTTATTAAACATTTCTTTCAATGTAAGTTGTTTAAGTTGTTTTGTTTTTTATGCAAATACTTTCTCTTTAATTCTATAAACAGGCATAAAATCTTGTTTAGTTACAAAGTACTGGATCCACAAGTCATCAATTATAAGCCTAAAGTCGTTCATTAAGACAAGTTTCTCCCTTACTATGGCCATAGTACCTAGTCCCCATAATGTACATTATGTATATAGACCATAACACCGTGGTCATATTTGTATATAAATTTCTAAATTTATGCATTTATTTATTGATTTAGCATTTGATTTGTTTTATGTCATTTATTGCAATTATTGTTTAAGTATTGCATTGATTTGCCTTAGTTGTATGTATGACTTCCTGTCCAGGGATTGTATAGCCAGAATATGCACTCCTTGGGAAGGGAACAATGTTAAAAATTTAGGTATATAAATTTGATAAATAATTTTAGTGAAATTATATATGTAATTGCTGTATTTTTCTGTATAATATAACATGAAAAGCTTGAAAGAAAATGCATTCTGCCAGAAAAATAAGAATACAGGGATAAGTCTATTTCACATTGAGTAACTGGTTATCTCACTAATTTAATGAGATATCGCCAAGTTAACAACATTGTTGGATACTGCTTTTTGTCATCAAATTTGGTGAGAAATCCTAAAAAGTCACCAAATTTGGCAACCATTTGCCCACATTTTGGGCTGGTACCTGTATAACTGCAATGCATATTGTAACTGAATAACAGTAATTGATACCTATATTAGCTGTAACCATATCCAGCCCTCATATGCCTTCCAGTACTTTTGAGAAACAGAAAATACTAGAGATTTCTCGATGGCTGGGGGGAACTATATAAGACCAGTGAAAGTATTTCAGCTGTTAGTTGTCAATTCAGAGCAACTTTAGAGTATTGAGATATGCATGAGAACTTCTGCCTTTTAAATGCACTTTGCATAGTGATTAATGCTCCTAGTACTTTGAAGTGTAACTACTCATCCTCTGTGAAGAGCTGTAGGAATATTTTTTGGAAAGTTCCAGAACTGTGAAGTGCTTTCTTGGATAAAATAAATTTTATCAAGCTATGATCAATTCTGTGTTCATTCAATCTATCATGAACCCGTATCCATGCAACAATATGCTTAAGTTATTGCTTTTTTGAGAAAATTTTAAATGCAGATAAGATCCAAAACCATTATGGTCTAACAAAAATCTGAAATTGCTTCTGCAGATAAAGACACATTTACCTGTCCAGTATTTGATGCCACTTACAATTATATGATAATATAATCGTACAAATATATGATATTTTCCGAAAAGCAAATTAATACAATAGATCTTTCTGAAAAAGAAAAATTTGCTTTATTTGCTGAATTTTTTAAGGTATTATCATGCTATACATACGAATGTACCAAAATAGATAGTTGGAATCCATTAAAAGAGAAATTCTTAAAAATTAATTTCTGAAGTACTTTTCCAATTCTGAACATGTTACTTTGATGCCTGTGTTTCAGTCACTAAATTTGAAGACGTTAATAAATATTTCCGCCAGAAATTAAAATTACATTCTGGATTGCATATAAGTGATCAAATTATAATTGAATCATTAACACAGGGTTTACCCAGAGCAATATGATATGTTACTATTTGTTTAAAAGATAAGTTCCCTTCAAAAATGGATTTCCCTAGCAAGAAAACTATTTCCAACTTCAGGTTCACCTCAATAACCAAGCCCCACTAATGCACCCAGGTTTACAGTTCTGATGCAGAATCCTAGTTCATATTTTAATCATCCAAGGTATCTCCAAGAGTATTGTACTCTAGGTCTTATTTGCCTCAAAATCCAGTTTGGAGAAATGTTCAGCCACCACCATTGAAATATCCAAATTCCCAGTATCCTGCCTTAAATTATCATCAACCTCCCTCTCATCAAAATGAAACGTCAGATAAAAATCACAATATTTTAATTTAAAGTAGGAAGTAATAACTTAACATGCTATTATTGATACAGGTAGTCAGATTAATGTAATTTCTGAAAATACTTGGTCTCGTCACTTGGAGGTCTCGTCACTAAATTAATTGTCATGCAAAATGGAAGAATAAGTAGAAATCTTCGAATTTATGTGCTAAATTCTTATTTAAATTATTTCCTTTCGTAATCCCTTATTTAAATTGAATTATACTGATTATGAGGTGTATCAATTTAAAAAACTATAAGCAAAGATATATGTCTAAGTAATCCTTTTTAGAGTAATTTTTTTTATATTTATGTGAAAATAATGAAAATGACTATGCTAATCATTTTGAGAATAACTAGTATGAGCATTTTTATGTAAATGACTAGTTGGAAGAAGTACTAAATGATTACAGTCATATATTTGTAAAAAGTAAATATAATGTGGGTTGTATTAATACTGAACCTCCAAAAGTAATACGGACTTCAGAGCTTCCCGTGGCTTTCTGACCATCCCCCTAAAGATACGTAATTACAAAATCATAAAGCAAATATTACATGCAGGTATCATAAAAAAATCATTCAGCCCTTAGCTGCCCCTTTTACTTTAGTTTATAAAAGAGATGAAAATGCAAGACACAGATTATGTATTGATTATGGAAAACGTAATTACTAAAACAGTTTCAAACCTATACCTGGAATACATAGAGCATTAGATCAATTCATGAATGCAAAAGTGTTTTTTAACTTAGATTCAGCACCTGGTTATTAGAATATAAATTTAAATAAAAAAGATTTAGAAAAACTACCATTTACAACCAATTTTTGTCTTTATGAATTTGATAAATTACCTTTTGGTTGGAAAAATTAACCAGCTATTTTGAGAGCTCTTAGACAAATTTTAAATAAATATTTGCTATATGTGAAAAAGAAAATATTTGGTCGTAATGAAAGTTTGCCAGCAAAAAACATTCCTAATAGAGTTAGGAAAAAAAACATGAAAACAGTACCCTTAGTACGAATAGTAATCATCACCTAAATCTAAGACTTTTTTCCAACGTTTTCGTAGTTTTTTAAAACCTCAGTAATCACCACCCAAATCTATGACTTTTTGCCAACGTTTTCGTTGTTTTTCAAAGCATTTGGCCCAGAAACTTGGTGGTCGTAAGTTCCAAAACAGATCAATCTCATTTCGGACATCCTGTGCAGAATGGAAGATAGCACCAGTAAGATGTAGCTGCAGGTGTGAAAAAAGACTGAAGTCTGAAGGAGCGATGTCAGGGCTATATGATGGGTGTGGCAAAAGATCCTATTCAAGTCCATACAGAGTCCAGCCAGTGAATGCAGACACATAAAGTTTATCTTGATGGAACATTACTTTTTTTCGCTGGAACTCAGTTCAATGTTTTGCCTTGATAGCAGCGTCAACATGGACTAGCATCTCGCTGTACACTGTACTGACAAGGGTTTTACCTTTTCAGATACTCTTTGTGGATAACACTACAGCAATTGCAGCTATACAACATACCACATTTTGAAACAATGGACAAAGTCAGCAAGCTACGATTATGTGTTAGTGAAGCAAGACCAAGATGTGAAAAAAGGCGTGACATGGTAAAAGCCACGTTATTTATAGGGATGCAAAGTCTTTGTCTAGAATCTAGTCAATAATTTATTAGTGATTAATTTTTTATTTTACATATTCTCATTAAAAATATACCGTGATTTAGGCTGTGGAAATGAAGAAACATTTTCTATAGAGAAAGGGCATCAGTACCTTGCAATTAACCTGATGGAGAAGGATGACCTATGCTGCATTAAAGATGACTGCATTTTTGAAAAATCATAAAACAGCTTTTCAACAGCAAAAATTTATTTCCTGAAGAATGATTTTTTAGAAATACATATCCACTGAGCTGGGACATTATGAATGCAATAAGCACTTTATAATAGCTATACAATGTATCACATTTTGAAATAATGGGCAAAGCAAATACTATGTGTAGTGAAGCAGGAGCTAGAAGCGAAGAAAAGGGACAACGCAGTAAAAGCTGGGCTATTTATAGTGATGCAACTCTTTGTCTAGAATCTAAGCAGGGATTGGTCAAGAATATTTGGCACTACAGAACACACTGCAGATGCTGGATTTTAGGAGGGTAAGTAATTAAATCTAAAAAGGAAATTTAAGGGGCTACTGCTAATTAAATGTATTTTCTTATTTTATATCTTACATATTAAATTATCACATACATATATATACTCAAATTTCAGCATATATTATCTTGATGAATTTAACTTTGTTTTTAAATTAAAATGTGTACAAGCTGCACTGAACACACTAATTCAAAGTGTATATTTCCTTGTTCAAAAGGACCAAGTTCTATAAAATAAATGCCTTTAAAAGTTAATGCATAGGTTCAAATTTGCGCTTATTAATTTAACTGCCTATGCTATTAATTAAAAAAGTAGCCATTCACACTAGAAATTTAAAAAACAGCTCTTCCTTCTGGATGGCAACAACATATGATGACTATTCAAATTTTGCAACATATACTTGCTGATATATTATTGGGAAAAAATGTCGACCTATTAATAACACTGATAGCTTCATATTACATCTTCCCCCCCCCAACCTTTTTACTTCCATGTTAAAAAGGGTAAAAAATTTCAGGTATCGTATTTCAAATGAAATACCCATTCTGAGCGCTCCCAAATCCATTTGGACGATTTTTTTTGCATGACATCTGCATGTACAGACAAAATAAAGGACCTTTTTTTTTCCAAAACAGATTACAGATTTAAAATGGATTCAAAAGAGTTTTTTTCATGATGTCTGTATGTACATATGTATGTATGTATCTGGCATAACTCGAAAATGATTAGCCATACAATGTTTAAATTTTGTATATGGGACTGCTATAATATCTAGATGTGCACCTTTTTTTACTGCAGTCAGCAGTACCAAACATATATTATATATACACACACATACCCTTAGGCCATATAAGGAAGTCATGTGGTGTCCAAATCGGATTTTTTTACCGTGACAACAATTTTCGGTCCTTCCTAGTTAAAGCAGTCAATGAAGTCTTTGGCAATATTTGAAATTAGCAAATTATTGCAGATTAGACTATGAAGTTTGCAAATTTTTATGATCAAGTGATTTCAAGATTTTTATGAATTTAAAAATTATGTGCTGCTTTAACAAAGAAGTACCAGATCTTATAAAGAATTATTTATTTCAAAAGCTCTAAATTGAGCTCAAAGCTTGTATTCAGAGCTTAAATTGCTCCGGTACTTCTCAGTTTCTGAGATAAATTATAATGCTAGCCGAAGTGCATCAGAACCCTAAATAAAAGGGTTCCAGTACTTCTTTTATGTAAGTGAAACACAGTTTCAGCAGACAAATTTTATTTTTTAAATAAATATACATTTAAAGCCGATTATAATTTTTGAATTCACGCCTTTCTCTAAGTAACAAACACTTTGACAGAGTTTAAGACTTTTAAGGAAAGAAAAGTGCCCATTCATATGTCAAAGGCCAGTAAATGTTTTGTTCCCAAAAGAATTAACAGTGATTACCTTCGTCTTCCACATCCAGTGTTATTGACCTCTCACTGCAGAGCTGCAGACTTGAATTACATAACCAAATACGGAGGACAAAAAATGTCACACATGCACGCCTTACTTTTGTTCCCATATTATCATCTGATCAGATTCACAGAAAATTTTTTTCCTGTCATATTTGAGCTTCACAGATAGAATTATATTGGCTTCATCCTGCTCAGAAAGAATTATACTCTTCTCTGCTTGTTTTCAAAGCTACAATTCTCCATTAAAATTTCTTTCCATACTCTCATATTGTTTCTAGCTTTCTGTCTACTTATACTTAAATAGTTTTACTTTTTATCAGTGTACTGCAAAAAAAGAATAGAATTAACTGAAAAATATACTGCAAAAAGAATCACCCCCACTGAAACAGCATGTTATATACTGTATATTTAAGGTCTAAATTCAGCTGTAGGCAGGCTGAGCTGTTTCTTAGATTTTGTACAATATTATAAGGTCAATCAGAGCCCCAAATAAGACGAGGCCTGATATTTTATTCCACAATTTATTGTTAATTTAATAATTTATTAAATTTTCATTTATATCTTTACATTTATTGAATTTTATTTTAATTATTAGTTATTTTATTCCTTTATTTTCTCCTCCTTCCCACCACTTTTCCAGAGGGCTCAAGCCCTACGGTTTTAGAAATTAGGCTCTGCCATTATATTTTGTTGAATGCCCTAGTAAATAACACATTTAAATCGAAAATTTTTACAGGGTTCGTACACATTTCTGCACACAGTGGTAAGATTGCTGGAGTGCTCCCCCACCCACCTGATCACAAAGTGATCTTATGATCTTAAAGGGGCACCCATATGTGGACTAGTGGTCAAAGATTACACAATTTAATTTTAATTTAATCTGGCTCAGTAACTCTCTCATATGAGGAAATAGAAATGGGAAATTATAGTAAAGGTTCAAATCATAAACAATTGAGTAATTTACATAATAATAACTGCACATATCTTTGAAGAATAATTTTCTTTATATATTCAGTTTCTTTCTTCAATATGTTTCCTTTTCATTTTAGAATTTTTGGACTTAATTAAGGATTTCTGTTATTCTAAAAAACACTAAATGCATTTAGAATATATAGAAAAAAAGGCTAATTTTATTTTGTTAATATGAACACAGAAAAAATATAAAATATATATGGTAAAGGCCAGTTACAGAGCTGATGTGGCAGAATTTTTAGAATTTAGTCACACACCGAACAACAAAATCTAGAAATGGCAAATTTTTCAGAATTTAGAGCAGGCATTGGAAGCAGAATTTAGAAAGGCACTAGGCAGCAAAATTTAGGATTCACGGAGATTGCATCAGTTTGAAAAAACCTAGTGCCAGCTATGTGTATGATGCATTAAGACATATTAGATGAATCTTCTAAATTGTAACTTTTCAATTTCTTTATTAATAAATAAAAAAAATCCCTTTCTATAATGCCTGACCATGTGATAAGATTAGAAGCATTTTTGATAATTTTCCATGCTTGTATCTAGTGAAAAAGTAGAGAAAATAAAGGGAAGATAAACATGTTCAGAAGGATTCTAGTATCGGAAATAAAACATTCAAATATTATGCTTTCATTGTTCTTTCAGATGTTCTCCAAAGAGTAAGAAATTCCTTGCCAACTTTATGTAAAATGCATCCATTACGTGTTGATACCATGGAGATATTTTTCACTCTGTCACATATTTCCCGAATCTTCTAGAAGCGTGGGTCTATAAATCTTGTCTTCAAATCCTTCTAAACTTTCTAAGCTACAATGTCTAAAATCCTAAAGAAAAATTATCCCTACAAATTTATAACAGCAAAAAGGTATGAAATATTTTGGAAAAAAAAAAAAAAAAAAAAAAGGAAAAAAAAAAAAAAAAGGAAAAAGGAAAAAGTGGAAAATTAATTTTATAGAAAAAACTGATACATATTCTGAGAGTTTTGAATATTCTGAGACAATTACATAGGGAAAACTCTTATTATGGAAAAAATTAAAAAGAAGACACTTTTTAATTAATTACATAGCTAATTTTTCTTTTGCTATGAGCTGTTTCATAAATTGTGCTTTATAGCATTATACCTTGTTTATTTTTCAGATTCAAAATATTCTATTAAAAGTTGCCAAAATGAAACTTTGTAATATGACAGCAAAACATAAAAAAAGTTTTATTTTAATGTTATTTTTTAAAATATAATTTCAATATCTTACCATTATTTTAAAGAAACTTATCAATGATACGTTTTAAAAAAAATCACCGAAAAGTTCTTAGAGCTTGGAATTAAAAATTTCATACTTAAAATCACCAAAATGTTGATAAGTCACCAAATTTAGAACCATTTTATAAAAGAATTCACATCCCCAAAATTGAAAAGCTGTTTAAGAGCTCTTTATTAGAAAAAAATTAATTTCAAAATGCTTATGTTTCACTTCTTGCTTAGAACTGGATATACCATCATTTATACTAGAAATCGAAACAAACTATAACCCATGAACCCATTCAAAAGATAACCATATATGTCAGTGAATTGCCAAAAATATTCCTCCAAAATGCTGACTCTTAAGGACCATACAAACCCCGTTTATAGTGATTTCCGAGTTGTGAATCCAATTTTTATTTTCCTTTTAAACATAAAATATAATAAATAAATTATTTGACAATTTTATTTAGAAGCCCACCCCCTTACCTTGTGTAACATGAATGGCTTTTTGCAGGTCACAAGATATTTTGTTAATATAATAGCATATATAAGTATATAATAGCTTATTATTTAAAATATTCGGTTAATCTTTGGATTATGGTAACTTGGCGATTTTTTGGCGGCCAACCCTGTTACAGCAACCTGCTAGTGTTTTCACGAAGTAAAGGCTTTTTTTTTTTTTACTCAACATTCTTTCCAACAATCTGTTGGCCAAATTATGCTTATGCTAGAACTTTTATGGAACAAAAGTGCTTAAGCATGACGATAAGGTGCGAAATTGGGAAAAAGTGCAGAATCGCCCACTTCTTGCAGGGTTTTTAAGAATTGCACTTACATGGTATCCATGTACAGGTCGACCTATTTTCACTTAAAAAAACATCCCAGAATTGCACAAAAATGGCATTGTGCATTGTCCTGACTTTATCCATGTACACTGCTAAAGTCCTAGCTAGTAACCTTTATCGCCTTACCAAAATGTCGCCAAACTACCTATTACCATATTCCAAAGATTAGCCAAATATTCTTACAATCTTGATTGATGTAAATATCATCTTAAGTTTGGGAAAACAGTCACTAAACTCAGCAATTCTAAAAGTTTAACCAACAAAAGCTGTTTAAATCTTTGCCACATACAGTTAAAAGGTCCTCTTCTATTATGCATCACATAATCTGAATTTTTCTCAACTCTTTGTCACACGTACATACACAGACACACACAAAATAAATAATATTTGGCTAATCTTTGGAATATGGTAACAGGTAGTTTGGCGACATTTTGGTAAGGCGATAAAGGTTACTAGCTAGGACTTTAGCAGTGTACATGGATAAAGTCAGGACAATGCACAATGCCATTTTTGTGCAATTCTGGGATGTTTTTTTAAGTGAAAATAGGTCGACCTGTACATGGATACCATGTAAGTGCAATTCTTAAAAACCCTGCAAGAAGTGGGCGATTCTGCACTTTTTCCCAATTTCGCACCTTATCGTCATGCTTAAGCACTTTTGTTCCATAAAAGTTCTAGCATAAGCATAATTTGGCCAACAGATTGTTGGAAAGAATGTTGAGTAAAAAAAAAAAAAGCCTTTACTTCGTGAAAACACTAGCAGGTTGCTGTAGCAGGGTTGGTCGCCAAAAAATCGCCAAAGTTACCATAATCCAAAGATTAACCGAATATTTTAAATAATAAGCTATTATATACTTATAAAATAAATAACTTTATTACTAAAACATCAAAATCACCTGGGATATAGGCTGAGCCATTGAAGACTGTTCAAGCTCTAAAAGTCCATCATCGTATGTATCAATGTTCTTGCTCTACAAAAATAAAATATATGTATAATGAATGTAAATAAAGTGTTGAAATAATAAACAAGTTTCAATAATTTGATAGATGTATATTAATGTTACCATTTCCTGCTACACAGCAGAATTCAGAACTAGCCTTCTTCTCTATTACATTTTATGGCCGAAAAACATTAAGGTTTTTTAGTTTTGTATGTGTTACTTTCTGATACAAGCAAAATTTGATACTTACGTGTAACCAATACATATTATTTCTGCAGTACCAACTGTGATAACTTGACAGCAAACTGCTGTCTGGAAGTTGCAGATATGTACAAACATAAAGACAACAGTTAATAAAGCATACACTAAATGTAAATGAAACTTTCAAAAATGTTCTGTTTCCTTCACTTATCAATGCTACACTTTCAAAAGTATGCATAAATTAATTACATTAGAATTAGTATACTCTATTCTTCAGCATTACACTGTTATCAAGCTAAAATGGTGAGCTTCTGTTTTCACGCTCTTCTGTTCAAAATTACACAACTCTTAATTATCACTCAGAATAATTGCTGAGAAGCATATAAGAAAAAACTGGATGCACAGTTAATAGAACACAACTATGATTATATATGGCTGCAATAGATAGCCAAACATTTACTGATAAGTTATGGCAGTTAAAAGAAATCAAAAGGTAAAAGTTTACAATTGGGTGCCCCTTGTTTCTTGGCAATTCTTTTTTGACGCCAAGATCGGCGCCAGGAAGGCACAATTTCAAGATGGCCACTAGAGAAAACCAAAATAAAAGTCAAAGAATGCACAAACTCTGTGTCCATGTACAATCGATCTGTTTTCCACTTAAAAAACATCCTAGAATTGCACAACTAGGCATTGACACTGCCTTAAATTTGTCCATGTACACATCAATCTATTTTCATTTAAATAAAATCCGGAAGTTAAAATAAAGTTAAAACTATCATGGTAACGAGAAGTGAGGTTTCATCGCCAAAACTTTTTTAAAAATGTTGCTAACGGAAAGGACACCCAATTCTACACTACAGCCAATCAAAAAACTTCAATACTGGCAAGTCACTGCCTATAGAAATTAAAGATATAAATTAACACGAACACCCAAAATTTAGTACCTAAAACTATATACTTTAAACTGAAAATAAAAGTTTAATTCAAGCATAATTACATACATTAAAACATAATATTACAGCGCTTGAAAAATTCAAATTTTTTACACAATTCATAAGCAATGCTCTGAGTCGCAATGTAAAGAAATTTCCACTTTATTCTTAATGTGAATCTAATACATAATTTTAAATTCATTAATTTTAATAAAGAATTCTGCATATATTGACAAATGAAAAATAATAACATTTCAGACCGGATTTGTAGCCTTAAACAGACTTTTTGAAATATAATTTATACATTTATGTTTATGAATGAAAAGCAACGAGAAAATACAATAAAATCATGAAGTCTGATGATATCCAATGATGTGACAAATACTTACATGGATTATTACCGAATATACAGCAGTAACCGCAATAAATAAGAAAACACGAGATATTAACTGTACCGCTTATAATACTGGTATTCTACTCTGAAGAAACATACAAAGAATTAGATGTTTCATTACAATTTTTTTATACAAGATGGTATTACCTCATAATCCCGATCTTCGTGAAATCGAGTAAATCTCTCGGCCATTTTTTAATTTAGAGTGATAACATAGAAAATGAGTTAACAAATTCATCTATTTAGACAGAAATATACACATAACAAATCATAATTAAAACGCATTGCACTCACTAACACGGAAAATACATTTCTTGTACAATTCTTCGCTTCACTTCTTTGTTGTGATACACCTGAACTCATATCTATTTGTCAATGTTAATAAGTAGCATTAATATAATTATGTTTGATATGAAAATTCTAAAATACATTCTCAAACTGCATTTCCCTATCCAAAATTCCAGTTTTTTAAAGTTTTTTTAAGCGTACAAGGTGACATGCCGTATAGCAAAATTTCAATCTTGAGACCGTAGTCCGGACACCGCCGAGACCGGAAGAACGGATCGTCTTTTGCGATATGCTCCACAAAGAGTAGATCGCAAATATATATATATATATATGTCATATTAAAAGCACAGGAAAAAAAAAGACAGAACACTGTAGATGCGTGATTAGACCCATATTGAAGAATTTGATTACGTACGTATTTAAGAACTTGGCAGTCGAGGCAGTTTTAATTCCATTTTTATTTCCAATTGATATTTGTGGCCACAATCACTTGGCACTCTAGTCGTGCCTTTCCACAGAACATTTACATTTTTGATATGTTGGGATAGAAAGCAAGCCAGCGAAATCACATCTTAGCACAGTAGCGAGCAAAAGCTGAAGTACGTAGTTATGAAAGATGGAAGCACGCGAAGAGAAAAGTTTTGGTTTACAAGTCGGTTCAGTTCTTAATTATTACGTCATCAGAGTTGCGCGGGCCATAGAGTGATCTAGAAATGACGCAATGCAGAGAAGTTATTACGATTTTAGAATAAAAGAGGAAGAATTAATGTTTTAGTTATTCTGATTCATATAATTTTATCTTACATATTCCCCCCTTCAAAAAGAAAAAAAGGCGTAGCGACAGAGAGCCTTTTGAAAGAGAAAGAGTTAAAGCACTAGCAAATGTAAAAAAAAAACATAAATCATAAAATTTTTGTCCTGTAAAGTATAATTTATAAATATCAATTTTTTTAATAAAATTTTAATTTTTAGAGTCCTATTGAATTTTTCAGCATTTCAGTCCAAAAGTCTTTTGTTTGAGAATTCACATAATCATAATTCTTCAGGGAAGGTTCTTGTTATTACAGAATATCACAAAATAAACTTTTACATAATCATTACTTATAATTAAATGTAATGCACATAAATATTTATGATACTTATTTCTATATTGATAAATTATATTTTAATACCATATAATAATAGGAGTAAGCTTCTGAAATTATGGTTTCACCGTTATCATCTTTCATTTACAATTCCTGATTTTACCAAACTGGAAGCCTCGCAATACTTCTAAACAAACATATCCATCAATAGGGCTGTCCTCTTGAGCTAACCAGTGTGTTCTCTGCACTGGTGGCCCAGGGTGCCTACAGTTACTTGAAACCTCCGTTCCTTGCATAAGGTAACTGGCCTTTCAGAACTGCACTAATACATTCCATAATAAAAAAATATATAATAATATAAAAAAATTTACATGCATTCATAAAATGAGAGCCTCCAACATTATCTTGCATGAAGAGGGTAAAAGGAACAACTGTACAGAGGTAATACAGGCCCTGTGTTGAAGGAACCAGTACTCCCTCGACATACACTATACTTAAACATACAATCACCCATAAATTTAACATGAATTTACCATAATTTCATATTACGTATCTGTAATAATTTTACTTATTTTTTACACCTACTTTCATTTTTTAGAATAATTATAAAATTTGTATTCAAAATTCTGAACAAAATTGCAAAAACATAAAAACTTATCTTAATATCCTTCCCTATGAATAATTTAAATAGCTTAAAATTAATTACTTAATTTGCTCACACATAATTATGAAAAATTAGAAAAATTAATGAACAAGAATATCAGATTTTCTCAAAACAAATTGCAAAAATTTTAACCAAAGTTGAAATGAAAACTACAGAATCCGCAGCACATTAAATAATTTAGTTCCTGAGCTAAATTCACACGAATGTAATAATTTTTGAGCTGTTGAAAAAGCGGAAGTGCAAATAATTTTCTGTCGCACATACTTGCAAACACTAACTCAGATCGACCTTCAACCCGCTGTAATGCTGAATTCCTAAACGGTAATTCACTGATGATTTCCTTTTCACTAGGCATTCGAACTTCTCAATTTATCGAGATATTACTTTCAATCTGTAAACACTACGCGTGATTATTTTTTTTTGAAGCACTTGCACCACAGCAGAAGAATGATCTGTTATTTTTAAACACTGAAAAAACAAAACACCACAGTAGAAGAATGATCTGTTATTTTTTAAACACTGAAAAAACAAACTTAATGATTCACTTCTTTCACATTATCTTGGATTTTTCACAAAACGATGATTTGAAGAGCTGAATTAAATTTTCCATTGAGGTTTCGGGCTGCAGGAAACTATCCTACCGGCTTAAATTGTCATATTAAAAGCACAGGAAAAAAAAGACAGAACACTGTAGATGCGTGATTAGACCCATATTGAAGAAGAATTTGATTACGTAGTATTTAAAGAACTTGGCAGTCAAGGCAGTTTTAATTCCATTTTTATTTCCAATTGATATTTGTGGCCACAATCACTTGGCACTCTAGTCGTGCCTATTCAAGAACATTACATTTTTGATATAATTGAGAAGGAAAGCAAGCCAGCGAAATCACATCTTAGCAGAGTAGCAAGCAAAAGCTGAAGTACGTAGTTATGAAAGATGGAAGCACGCGAAGAGAAAAGTTTTGGTTTACAAGGTCGGTTTCAGTTCTTAATTATTACGTCATCAGAGTGCGCGCCGGCATCATTAGAGTGTTATCTAGAAATGACGCAATGCAGAGAAGTTATTACGATTTTAGAAAATAAAGAGGAAATGGTAATTTTTTTAGTTATTCTGATCTCATCCATATCTTTTTATCACACTTCCACGCAGCGGTTTATTTTACGTCACAGATAACGAAAATGTACACTACTACGCTATAATAACGTAGATATGACTAGTATATGTACAAAGCGTAGATTGCAAATATAGTCAATGTATGCTTTGCGATCTACTCCACAAAGAGTGCCTCCCAGACGGTATACCGTTTAGGGGAGACTGACTGGGATACCGTAGGGCCTGGGCTCGAATCCCGGAGAAGGCATGGTTGTAACTGTCCGTCCTATCATAGAAACCAATGGTGACCCACTTATTAGGTGCCTCCATAACAAAGAGACTACCACATCTGGCCATTAGTATACATTAATGGACTCTGTTACAAAACTATAACTGTTCACAATCTGCCATTGGGGGGGAAACTCCACAAAGAGTGTCAAGTTAAACCTCTACCTAATTTTATCTTTGTTTAATGTAATTTAGAACATTACGTATGGCAACAGCGGATGTTGTTTACATTTTCGTTGTTGAACTCCGTTTATACCAAGGAGGTTGTTTATACTCAGTGGTTGCTGAGGTTTTTTTTTTGTTTGTTTGTTTGCTTGTTTATGAGAAAGGGAGAAAAATGGCTTCGACTTGCATGTCACATGTATTTTGAGAAATTAATGAGTATTTATCTTACGCCATTTATATTTGAATGTTATTTTGAGATGTTGAAACTACATTTGCTTGCGATTTTGTGCAATTCTCTGACTCACAAGACAATTGCACAAAGTCGGTATCCATGTACAAATCGACTTATTTTCACTTAAAAAAAAAACCCCGAATTGCACAAAAATGGCATTGCGCACTCCTTTGACTTTATCCATGTACACGTTGACCTATTCTCACTTAAAAAAAATCCCCCGAAATGCACAAAAATGGCATTGTGCACTCTTTTAACTTTGTCCATGTACACGTCCACCTATTTTCATTTAAAAAAAAATCCCAGAATTGCACAAACTTGCATTGCACACTCCCTTTACTTTGTCCATGTACACTTCGATATATTTTCACTTAAAAAGTCAAAGGAGCACCAAATTCTAAAATATACGCAAACAAAAAATACATAATCTCAGTAAAATGCATTTTAAACCAAACAATAAAATAATATCAAAAAAGGAAAAACATTTTATACATTTAAGCACGACCAAAAGCATATATTCACTTACCATGCTTTTCAAGTTCGCTTCGTACACCCAGAGCCACGTAAAAATCAAAATATCAGTCATACTCAAATGACTTTTTTCAAACCAGGTACTCTTTCTGATCGAACGCTTCCCATAGTGACCATCTGAACCTTTCTTCCTACAAACCCATTCAAATCCATCTAAATGGTTTTTACGTTCGACTAGACGCATATCCTTCCTACATACAGGACACTTATAATGGCTACTAAGTAAACCGTCATTTACACCAGTCAATTAAAGCTCTTTTCCCCTTTCGCTCCAAATCGTACAGAAACTTAAAAGTAATCTTACTACATTCGGCCATTCTACCGTCTAATGAATCAAACCAACACACACCACAAAAACGCTTACAAAACATCCCGTGATTCAAAATTTCCCAGAATCATGCACTCGATTACGTCATAATAAGGTTTCCATAACTTTACGAGGCTAATCTTTGGAATATGGTAACAGGTAGTTTGGCGACATTTTGGTAAGGCGATAAAGGTTACTAGCTAGGACTTTAGCAGTGCACATGGATAAAGTCAAGAGTGTGCGCAATGCCATTTTTGTGCAATTCTGGGATTTTTTTTAAGTGAAAATAGGTCGACCTGTACATGGATGCCGTGTATGTGCGATTCCTAAAAACGCGGCAAGCAGTGGGCGATTCTGCACTTTCTCCCAATTAAGCACTTTTGTTCCATAAAAGTTCTAGCATAAGCGTAATTCGGCTAGCAGATTGTTGGAAAAAAATGTTGAGTAAAAAAAAAACATACCTTTACTTCGTGAAAACAAAATGGCATCCAAAAAAAACTAGGAGGTTGCTGTAGCAGGGTTGGTCGCCAAAAAATCGCCAAGTTACCATAATCCGAAGATTAAACCTTTATGAAAACACTGCCACGTAGCACAAAAGCCCAGTAAAAAAGTCAAATGACTTCCTATTGGCACATTCCGTGATGTGGGGAAGGGTAGAAAGGAGGGATAGAAATGACCTTCAGACGTCTCAGCTTCGATATGCGAAAAAAGTGCATTGAAAACTGAATTTGTCGTAAATTTTGCACATACGCGCGTGCTGGAAGGTTAAGAATTGCACATACTCGGTATCCATGTACACATCGACCTATTTTCACTTAAAACAACATCCCAGTTGCAGAAAAATGGCATTGTGCACTCCCTTGACTTTATGTCAAAAATCCAATTCTTCTTACCTCTTGTAAAAAGCGCCAAACAAATAAATGGGCGATTCTGCACTTTAGCCAACTATT